GGGCTCCCTTCTGCGCAAGTTAAGCGCGGGGTCTGCGAAGGGACGGGACGGTGGCGGTACGCGTTTTTAAGGGATCCGAACTCCTCTGTTCCTGTAAAACACCCTCCTCTTGAAAAACTTGAGGTGCGGATTTTCACGACCAATAGAAATGTAACGGCCAAAAATAATGTAATATTTTCCAAGTGAAACGGATAGGCGTGTATGTCTCGCTGTTGGTGTCGACTTTCCCGGCTTAGTTCGTTATCTCGAGCTACCGTAAAACAGCTCAATAACACCAGCGGTAAAAGTTGAAATCCAGTTGTCATGAAGGAGTAATTCAGGGTGGTGTTTGGGTTTAAGGATCGTATTTCCAGTTGAAGGCGAAGTTTCTACGTTCATTTCTGGAATCGAGTCTGAACTGTTCTACGGCGGCGACGATACCTCCCGAAATCCATTGGTTTGGGTTTCAGTTCTGGTTTTGTACTGAATGGTTTTGTGAAAAGGAAAAACGATGTGTTGCTACAATTAGATGCGAGGGAGTTTGTTCGGCAATGACCGTATCATCGATGTGAATGAAAAGCATATGGAAATGTGGAGTGCTTTAAAAAGAAAAAAAAAAAGAAAAAAAAGAGGGAGAGGGGCAGCCAGTCGCTGGAATTGCGGACTTCTGTCGTGTTTCAGAGAAAGCCCATCCAAAGGGTTAACTGGAGGGGCCGAGGGAGAACAGGCACCTGGGACCTAACACCCAACTGGCAGTCTTTTGTAATATATAATTTGCCTAAAATTGCGCACCGAGCACAAGCTTTTGTTTTCTAATTGATTTACGGTTTGAGCCACTTTTACCTCATCCCCTACTGTCCTGCACACAGTGCCAGCAAGTACATTACAGTGAGAAATGATAAATTACCATGCACTTGTGATGCTAATGCATCAAGAGTAAAAAACTGCATACTACATGCAGCTTCATGCATTAAGAGTGTCGCAAAGATAGAGCTATGCAAAAAATCATTTGTATCTTCTGAAATAACCATTTGATCATTCCCTTCAATTCGTCTCTGAGACCTAATTGAACCTGAAGATTAAAATTTATGCTATTATGGCTTTCCATTTGTGGATTGGGACAAAGTTCTGAAAGTGTGTGAGTGTGGGCTTAAAGGTACCTGTATTTCGGAAACTTTAATAAGTTAATTGATCAGAAAAGTAACAGGTATTACAGCTCCTTAAAGCCTTTTTAAAATCTAAATATTGTGCTTGTTAATGACAATGACAGTATGCGTTCTCAAATGGCATTGCTCCACTTTTCGATGGGAGTATGTGTAGATGGCGTAACGTAGGTACTATCTAATCGACGTTTGTCACCAAAACTATTTAAATATTTTAATCTGTTTTACTTCAGAGGTGTAGTGCATCTTGTACTGAACAGAACCTTTACAGGTATCGAGGAAGAATTGAAAATCTTGTCTGTATAATTTTTACTTGCATTTGTGAAATACCTTACAGATATCCCAAAGAAAAGGAAAAATGTGGAAGTTGGTGAAACCTAATGTGTTTATTGTCTGATTTCTTTCCCCCACCCTGCACCACAGGCTGGATTTTATTTTACCTTCACATACTCAGTCCACCTTAAATTTTTTATTTTTGTACGATGTCTGTGGGTTCCAGTCTTGAAATATGAAGAAACAGATTTATGGCGGCTGCTGGGCACAACAAATTAAGTTGACAGTGATGTATGAGAGCATAATAGCATGATGATCCCTCTGTAGCGCGGCTGGACGCCTCCTGCTTCATTTGGCTCTTGTTAGGATCTGTTAGGCAGCTAAATAATGAAATTCTGCTGACTGATTTCTGATTTCTCTTTTCTTTCTCTTTTCACCTTTTTCTGAAACTTGCATTTCCCAGACCCATCCTAATGCCAGCAAACTGCCCTTAAAGGATTCTTTCACTTATGATGACTACAGGTTGGTCTGTCTCTTTTTTTTTTTTTTTTTTTTTTTCCTTAATATAGTAAACTGTGGGACCCTGGAAATGCTTCATTGGTGGGAAAGCCCTATTGTTATTGAAATGTTAAATGTAGGATTTGATACTAATACACTTTCTTAATGAAGAAGTAAGTAAAATAAATATGCATATTTTAATTGTTACAAAGGAATAGTCATTATGAGCGGTTAATTCAGCCAACTGGCACACATGGTCTGAGATTAGTAAGGTAATTCATTGTTTCTTAAGAAAATAATTCAGGTGACGTTGCAGGAGTTTGGGTTTTGGATTTGGGGATTTTTTTTTTTTTTTTTTATAAAAGGCTTTACTAGCACATAGTAGTAAAAACTAGTATTTACAGTGGCTGTTGAACAGGAGAGCTGGAGAACTTAAGCTGTACAAGTGAAGCATGGGTGTCACTTGGAGGTGCTATAGGGGGTGACATAAGATAAAAATAAGAATAATTAAGATAACGAGAGCTTTAATTCTATTAAGTGATTAAAATAGCATAAATAAAAGGCATTCATGAGGTCTTACAGGGATTTTTTTTTTTTTTAGCCTAGTTGTTCTTCTGGATAAGTCTATGAAAGTGGGATTTCCAAAGCATGCCACCTTCACTTACAGGGTCACAGAGGAACACGCCAACTTCCATGTGAAATGGTGTAAAATTTTGCAGATAAAGTACAACAATTAAAAAGAAACATTTTTATTGTGATGTTTCATACAGTGTTTGTATATCAGAATTATCTACAATTTTTACTTGCTTTTTTTAGAAATTAAATAGATTTCAATTTGATGGTATCTTTCTAAGCAATCTCTAGTCCTTCTCAAAGTCTAATTCTGTGTATTAAAACCTGTTAGTAGTGGAGTCAGTGGGTGTTAAAATTATTTTGACCTTCTCCTGGTGGTGGTTCCCCACCCCGCCCCCCCAAAAACCCCACAACAAATGTATGTATTAAGGCCAGAACATAGTGAAACTAAGATTATTCTTTTCCCTCTGGTATTTAATATTTATTTTTGTCTGAAACAAAAATGAAGTTTTAGAAAATACTGAAATGGTAAGCTTTTCTGAAGATTCGTAAGTTTGAATAGGTAGCTGGCATTTCCTTTGCTTAACCTGAGTTAGAAGGGTTTTGAATTATATCTGTGTGATAAACTCTGTTATGCTTACTTCATTCTTTTTACCTGGATATCTGTTTGGGGTATTGGGGCTTTTTTCCCCTTTATTCTGTTAAGCAGAAAATTTAGCAATACTGATCTAAGGCAAAAGTTCACAAACTGAAGAGGAGCGCTTACCAAAATATCATGCGTGTATCAGGTGATGACACTGGTTTTCAGTTCATAAGCTTTTTAGTTCATAAGGTTTCTTTTTTTTTTTTTTTTTAATAAGTTCATAAGCTTTTTAGGGAGCGAGGGGAAAAATACCTCCTGGCTCTTACAAGAGTCTGCACATAGATGAGAGCTACTGCTGCCAAGCAGTAACTGTGAACTGCTCTGAAGCCTGCAGGAATAGCTGACCCCAGGTTTGGGATGTGTAGTGAGAGGTATGTGTGCAGTGAAGGGTTGGGGAAGCAGAATGTGACATGGGAATGGGTCCTGGTTGAGGTAATGGAAGGTATGAAGATTCTGTTGCAGAGAGTGCAGAAGAGGGGTGGGATTGCAATCCTGATTTGGGCATTGGTCTATGTGCATGTCTTGGAAACCTAGGAGCTGCTGCTTCTCCTGCAAGTGGTATTGCCTTCTACTGTTACTGTAGTCAGTGTGATCTTTAAGAAAACTAAGTCTGGAAACCCCCGGCCTAAACGATTGCTTCAGGTTGGACTACAGCCAATCACATATTGACGTTTTGAACATTGACCATCTAATGTTTTTCATTTTTGTAGATGGGCGGTTTCCTCTGTTATGACACGGCAGAACCAGATTCCAACAGAAGATGGTTCCAGAGTTACATTGGCTCTAATACCTTTATGGGACATGTGTAATCATACTAATGGACTGGTAAGGATTTCTTCAGCATTGCTGAAAGGCTTTAGGGCTTAAGTATTAAGCCTTTCAACTGCTGTAGAACAGTTTAACAACATTTTTCATTATGCTTCTTAACACAGGTATTTTATCTTCCTAAGGGACCCTAAAAAACTAATAGAAAGATTTGTAAGTTTCTTAAAGGTCTTACGATAGCTTTTCAGGGAGAACTTTCTTCACCTTCACTTCAACTTTAGAAGTGATTGCATACTCGCATACGGTTATGTCTCATATATGTAGAATGTGCCTTTAAAAGTTTTCAGCTACATGATACCTTTTTTCCCAGCCAAGTTTGAATATTCTTCTGACGTGGAGTTTTGTTTCTGATGGGCTGAAAAAGATTCACAATACTGGACAGATTTGTTCTGAGAACAGGAAAGCAGACAATGATGGAGGTTGCCACTTGTAGCTACCACTAGGGAAAGTGGTTAGAAATTTGCAACTAAGAAATACTGCCTGCTCTCCTAACCATGCCCAGAGAGCCTTGTTTGTGGAGACAGCAACAACAAGAACAAAGCCTAGTTCAACAAAAACAGTACATCTGTTACTACATCAAAGAAACAAAATGCAAAAATACTACTTTAGGGCATATTAAACATTTAAAAGGTGACATATGTATCTAGAAAGTCAGACCTGCTGACATTTTGGCTTATGTGAGCTAGTTCAGAAGATGAGGTCTTGATTTCATTAACAGGCTAGTTAATGTTGAAGTGAGGCAATGGAAACCCATAAGAGGATGGTTTATCAGTGTCATTTAGCCAGTCTCATGTACACTTCAAAATTCATACCCTCTAATTGTGTCTCCAGTAGATAGTATTATTTATTGTAAGCAGTGAATATGACCATACTATTCAAGTAATCTGGTTCTTTTGTGGGAGAGTTGACCTGAGTGTTAGGACAGCAGCATGCATTAGTATTGGTATAAGAAAAGCCTGGTTTAAATGAACAAATTGTAAAGCAAGTTGTTTTTCATTTGACATTTAGCTAATTTATTGTTACTATGACTGTACCAAATACAGCATGGTAGGCTAGGCTACAAAGTTGCAAGTGTTTGGGTTTTTTATTTATTTATTTTTCCCTATTAAAGGGTGATTACATGTTGTTCTTTAACAGTGTTTCTTGCCTTTTACTATTTGTTATGCAAACTCGTAACTTTGATTTAGCAATAAAGCTTGTATGAGAGTCTCTAATGTAAAGAAAATTGCTTAAAATTCAGGAATGTATATTTTTGTAATATAAGTCTTAGCTGCAAGTATCAGTACTTCCTGTACCCTTTTCCTGCTGGGCATCTCTTTCAGATGCTTTTGCAGAGACTTGTCTGTATTCATTAGGCAACTCTTAATGAATGCCTTCAAAGTTGGGATTAGAGGAAAGAGGAAGAGAATTAAGGTTCTGGGAGGGAAAAAATTAAGTAGGCTATATTAAAAGAGCAGCTAGTTATGTTGTTTTAATCATTCAAACTTCTATTTAAATTGATAAAGTAATTTTTATTTTTATTATGCTCTTTAACAATGGGTTTGATATGGAGCCAGCCTCTGGAGCCAAACCTGCTAGTGCAGTAGTATATCAGGGTTGGAAGCATTTTTTTGTGCTGAAGTGTATCCTAAAGGGCAGGGGGGAGGTGTGTGTGTGTGCTGAACTTAAATATTTCGTGTGTATATACAGCCTTTACTCGTTTCATATTTCTACAGAAACTAGTTTAGACATTTATAGATTTAGGAAGAATAAGACAACAGTAATATTGATAATGGGCTAAGAAAAGCTACTAAACCTATTTCTGTTGTGTGTTAGTTTTCTTGCGCTATTAGAAACAGGGAAAAACTGCTAAGAAAACTGTAAGCTACTAAGATAACTGTAAGCTGTCTGTATTGTAGTTTATATTATTGTAGAGCAAGATGAGGCTGGGTTCTGCTCTGATCATAGTGCATCCCTTTAAAATACATAAAGGGAATTGTTCGTCATTGCACTAAAGTAAGAAACAAAAGATGGCCTTCTATGCGCCCCTGTCTAGTCTATTCCAAATGTAGGGCTGAAATACTTGAGTCAATCAGCTGCTATAGATCCCTGATCTTGCTTTATTCCACAGGGCCCTTTTCCATGAGCTAGATAATAAAATGCTCTTTGGGTTTTAACTGGAGCTAGGTCCATCCAGCTTTTTCTTGCTTCTGACACTATTAATTAGATCAACCTGCCTCTAAGAACTATATCAAAATGGTTGTCTTCATGCATTTCTCATTGTTATTCTTCAATGGGATTGTATTTTGACAGTCAGAGGTTGATTACCAGTTCTGCCAGAGCTTTAAATAAGCTACATTCTGCCTGTTGGGCTGGGTCCATCCTTCATCACTGACCAAGCAGACTATTGCATGCTTTATACACAACTTGAAATTCATGTATCAGTCTGCTTCAGAAATAAAACTGAAGGGATGCAATTTGTCAGCTATCATGTGGGAAGAGAAGTAAACATGCTGTTAATTCTCTTACATGACTGCTATTAAAAGAAAGAGGAAATAAAGAGTCTAGCACTCCATTATGCTTTATAGAAAAGCCTTTCAGAAGCGCTGCTGGTTTGGGTTTTTTGGGGGGGGTTAAATAAAAACCAATCCCCAAAATGAGCAGTAGTCTAACGAAGCATGCTTAAACTGACAGAATCCTTTTCTTCACGTATTGGAATTTCCCCAGTCCTTGAAAGCCTCCTATTCCACAGGCATTTCAAGAAACTGGAATGGAGTTTTCACATTCAGAAGTATTTCATTGAGTTTACTCACTAAGAAAATTTCAGGATAGGTCAAGTGCTGTCAAGAGTTCCCTTTTTTGAATGGAAGTTACAGTTTTTCCCAAGATTACTGTATTTGATCTTAGAAGGTACATTTGTCATAGTGAAGGTCAATCCTCTAGCACTTGCAACCTGCAATTCAGGATTAGATAACCTTCTAAACGAGAGATCTTAATTAAAAATTGTTATATGTGAATGTACAGGAATTTCTGTGTTCAAGTACTACAGCCTGTGTTTTGCAGTAGGCCGTATTGCATGACTCTCATGTTCTCTTCTGATCTTAACGTACCACAAACCCATTAATAGACCTGAAGTGATGGCATCTGCATGCAGAGCAGATCTGCAAGCCGCCGCAGGACCAAGCTGCCGTGCTTGTGGCTGCCATTTTGGATTTGCTGCATTGTAGACAAGTTCCCCGTGCTCACTTTAAAAGCACTGTTTTGGCTGACGAATGCACACTTGATGATGCAAGCAGTGTAAAACTCTTAACGTATAAACCATCAACCAAGCTTTCAAAATAATCCACCAAGTTCTGTCTTTGGGCAAACTGCATCCAAGATGGGAATCGGGGTATACCGCAACTCGCATGTAAGTCAGCTCATAAACAAGTATGTTTTCATTTACAAAGGCTAAGAGAGAATCTTTGGCTTCTTCTGGGTTTTTCCCCAGGCCCAGAGCATATTTTTCTGTAAGTTAGCTCTGTCAGTACTGAATTCAGAACACCTGCCATAAAAGTTGCTTCCTGATTGTTCAGCAGCTTATGGTCCATCCTGTGGCTGCATCTGTGCCTGCATCTTTGGTCATACTATTCAAGAACATGCTGTTTGTCACTTTAAAAAAGTATTACATTTCTAGGATAGCTTTACTTGTTAGTGTGACCACTTTACAGTTTTGAATTTTTTTTCGGAGAAGTACAGGTTTATTAAGATAATGTATCCTCTTCCATTGCCTGCTACCATCAAAAAAAAATCCTTTTAGCATTTTAAGAGTATTACTTAACTTTAGATAAAGGGATTATTTGCAAGTAAATTATAATTCTCTGAAGATTGTATCCCCTAAAGATCCACAGTTATCTAATCCTTTTTCATTGAGAGATCAAAAATGTGCTGGCAGTTGAAGGATAAGCACAACATATAAAGCTGTCAGTGCCTTGCTCCCTTGGGCCTCATGGGAGTGACTGAAAACTCCAGAACTTTATAACAAGCTGCCAGCTTTAGCACAGGACTGTCTGTGGTCTATGGAGGGTACTTTCCTCAGAGCCTTCCATTCACTTCAGGTAACTTCGTTCTTCCCTTAGATTTCTTTAATGCAGAGATTTTTCTTTAAAAAGAGATTGCTCAGGAATCATAAAACAGTTACTACCAGCTATATTATATTGTGCAGAGAAAGAAATGTATGCAGTTGCTATTGTTAATACCTATTTTCAGTGTTTTGTCAATGGTGGGGGAGATAGATATAAAATGCTAAAGGTGCTTTTGTTACTCTTTCCTTGGATAGATCACTACAGGCTACAATTTAGAAGATGACCGGTGTGAATGTGTAGCGCTTCAAGATTTCAAGGCTGGAGAACAGGTAGTGTGAACAATTATCTACATAATTGTTCTTTAATTAAGTTTTGTGGACACTTGGTAACTCCCTACAAATTTTTAGTAGCAGAGTGGTGTGGATTAAGCCCTGCTACGTTTGAATTTTATTATGCTGAGCTAATTTTGTGTGAAAATACTACCAAACTAAGTGCACACTTTTCAGAGTAAAATATTTTCTTTATAGAGCCCAACTTTAGGAGAGTTTTGATTCCTTGTATTTTAGAGAACTAGTTGAAATGTTTAATCCCAGGTTAATGCGCATACACAGACACCGAGTTTGGTATTCTGGATGAGATTAATAAAAGGCCATATCCAAAGGACCAAAGATAAATGTATTTTAGGTTTGGGGTATCACTTTGTCTGCAATAGCAGACTGTAGAGTCTTTCTTAAAAACGTTGTTGGTTTATGTTTCGTATTAGTCTTCATTTAACAAGAGGTTAAATGCGGTATAGTTGCCAGTCATTTTACCCATGTTGCCATTCCCATGCATAGTGAAAAAGAGAAAGGACCTAAAAATAAAATTCCTCCCTTTCACACAGGCATGCGCATGTGTACACATCCCTTCATCCTGAAAGTACCAAAGGGCGAATCTTGCAAAGATGCATGGAACAGTTCAGAATCCAGTATTTTATTCAGAACTGCTAAGAAACAAAAATGAGTGTTAAAACCAGCAATGCATTGAAGACAGTGGTTCCAGCAGTGTAGGAAAACTCTGGTAGGAGGGTTCCTGTGCTGTGTCAGCAGCCAGCCTAAGCCCTCAAGTGTAGTAACACTCAGTTTTTCCTACTGCTTGTGCAACTGTAGTCAGCATGGCCAGAAAAAGACTATGAAACGTCCTGAAATGTTTTGTAATTCAGTCTCTGAGTTATTACCTTTAGTGTATTATTTTGCCAGTCTTACGCTTAATAATATTTTTATTTTCATTTTTCTTATGTATTGTTACCTTATTTTTTAACAAAGATGTGTCTGAAAAATTTTTTTAAGTATGTCTTTCCAAAGGTATATTTATCCTTATTGCTATGGTAGGGTTTACAGTGATTGTATATTTTTTGTGTTGCTCTTAGAATTTGTTATGGTAGTCAAATATTTGCTGTTTTTTCCCAATACCAGTATGACGAGTTAAAAGGGGTCCACCGTTTTTCCAGAAGTGATCCAATTTATAATTTTCCACAGCTGGCAATGGATGTGTCATATAGCTGTTCTGGCTGCTCTCTCCATTTCAATTATAGAGGCTTCCTCTATTTCAATTTTATTTTAGTAGTTTCACTTTGCTATTTAGCAGGCTTTTTTTTTAAATTTCTGTGCAAACTTTAACTGTTATCAACATCATTAAAGCACTTCTATTATACAATGCTTCAATCTTTTAATATACTGTGCAGATGCTATTTCTTACAGTTTCAGCGGGAAGAATGTATGATCCTTGCTTTTCCTACTGTGAGGCAGCAGAAGTCCACAGAATCTATCAAACACTGTCCTTGAATAAAGCAACTTTCTCATTCTGTTTAATTGGCTTTTTTGTAAAACAGTCTTAGAGTGTAAGAGCATACTGTATAATCTACACATGGCATGTGACTTTTAGTTTAATAGGAGATGTATCACAGTAGTTTTAAAACTTGAGAGGGTTAGCAGCTCTCTCCTTAACCACTGCCTTAACGTACCTAGGCAGGTCACTTGTTCATTATACAAGTGTGTTACAGTATAATGTTTAGTATAATTTAATATTAAGCATTTAGTGCTTAGGATAAATAGTTCTTCCTTTGTTTTCAATTTTAGATTAGTAAATGGCATCGTTAGTGTTATTGAGCTCTAAGAGAACACTGTGCCTTTCTCTGTCAGCTAGAGAGGAGTGGAAGCTTACAGGTATCCAGAGCATTGCTGTACCCTAAGGTTAAGAAGGGAGTTCTGTAACTGTTGAAACTTTTTTTTCTGATTGACAATTCTGTTATCAGACGAAAAGGGAAAATATCCTCTTGATGTGGGAGAAGACAATTGCTACTCTGACCTCTTATGCCATGTAATTCATACAGCCTAGCCCTGAATTAAACACTTGTTGCAGGTTATATTTAGGAACTGCTTTTTTTAATGTGAATTCAAGTGAACTATTTGCTTTATCTAAAGAGTTCAGAGTATAACACAAAAAAATAAATACTGGCTGAACACAGATCAGATCTCTTTCTATTGATATACTTTGGTATATCCATGCCTTAAGGTAACGTTAAAACAAAAGCAAAGTTGATCCATCAGCAGTGTAGGTTACCCTTTTGGACATATGGGGGGAAAATGACCCCAGAAACACAGTTTGTTTTAATGGGCCCTCCTTGTCTCAGATTTTTTTAGCCTTTAAAAGGCATAGGATCTTTGAAAGCTTATTTCCATATACTGATATTTTATGACAGTGTGGGAAAACAAAGCAGTTTTATTTTAAAGTATAGAATAAGAACCTCTTCTCTCCTTTCAAAGTCTCTGTTACATGGATATGTTTACATCTACCTCTAAAGTATATTGCCACACTGTATACGGTGTTTGAATTGATACCAGAAAACAAAGCATGTTTCTTTATATAACCAAATATACCTTGTACTCAGCATAGTAACTCTTTCAGGAAATAACTTTCAAATTATGTCAGTTTTGTGAGCTGATCTTAAGCTTTTTTCCTGTCCCTTCACTTCTCTTTTCATCCTTCTAGATTTACATTTTTTATGGCACTCGGTCAAACGCTGAATTTGTGATCCACAGTGGTTTTTTCTTTGATAATAATTCACATGACAGAGTGAAAATAAAGCTTGGCGTGAGTAAAAGTGACAGGCTGTATGCTATGAAGGCAGAGGTCTTAGCTCGTGCTGGTATCCCAACGTAAGTAAAACACAATGCCATGGGTTTTTAAAAATATTTCCAAAGTATATGCTCTACTGGACACTATATATAAAGCTGTTCTATGATAGTTTTCTTAGCTGTAACATTTCTCCTGTTTGTATAGCAAATTAAAGTTATTGTAATAATATTTACAGATGTTCTCTGAGCTATATTATCTAATTTGGGCCATATATGAGGAAAAAAGCCTTTGCTTTAATAACCATTTGAACAAAAACAGAGCAAGGATTAATTTGAAGCAATCTGTGTTTGTTCGTTCTTTCTTATCCCTTGCAGACATACTGCGATGCTCAGTATGTGAACCACAGCATTTTCCTTTAGTCTTTTCAGTCCGGAGGGTACTGTTAGGAGAAGCAGACGTGAAACATTGCATTTTCATGAATTTATTATGAAAGCCATATAAAAATAATTTTAAGTGTAAAATTATAGAAATAATTGTTCTTTTCAGATACAGGTTAGGGAAGCTTTTCTTCAGTTTGAACTAGTATTACCTAATTTTTTAAAAGTTGCTTTTGTAACAGTGTATTTGCTGTATACTTTAAGGTCTTTTATGCTGAAATAAGTTCAAAGGTATGACAATAGAACTTGCATTTACTGTTGCTGTTTGATTGTTTCTTTTATTAGTTCTAGTGTTTTTGCCTTGCACTCCACTGAGCCTCCAATCTCTGCCCAGCTTTTGGCTTTCCTTCGAGTGTTTTGTATGAGTGAAGGTAAGAATTTTTTTTTTTTTTAATGCAGGAATGTGATAGACTTTTATATAAAACACTGAGCTGGAAGATTGGAAGAGATGAGGAGTTGAGGTTAAAAAGGGATCTATAAGCTAGTGAGAAACCCAGTCTTTGGCCATGTTGTCTGAGGGATTATTTCAGTAATGTAGGCCTTTCTGGAACTCAAAAAGCATGAGGTGATGCTTTTTTTTTTTTAAAAAATCTCCCAGGCTGTTGTGAATGAGTGAGCTTTGGAGCTTGATCTTTAGTTCTTAGGTTTAAAAATGGTTCACAGAACAAGATCATATGAGAACTAGGGGTTTACATGCCTAAAATTATAGCATATTAGCCATCACTGCTAGAATCATTTAGGTATGGAATTGGAATATCCTGTTCTGTAGGAGAAATATGGAAGAGACATTTCAAAGTTGAGTATTTTCAAGATTTTGGTGATTCATAATCTAAAACCAACTTACATATTTGCCAGCTGTCTTTGTAGTGCTTCTTTTATGTTCGGGGGGGTTTATGGGGAAAATATATGTACAATTAATAAATATTCACCTAATTTGTGCATGTGAAACTTCTGATTAAAAGTTTGTAATAGCTGCTTGATGGTTAGATGCAGTTTTGGAGGTTATAGATGTGACAGTTTTTCATGACAGTGAGAGAATTCCCTTGCAGTTAGGGATGCTGTGCGGATGTTATAGATTTTCATACCAGTAGGAATGCTGAAGTTGTTAAGTTTTTGCATGTGCTCTATTTGCTTTCTTTAATAAAAACAACCTAACTTATTTAGTGTCATGCCTTCACTGCATCCTGTCATCCATCTTCTAGAACTTAAGAAAACAGAATAGAATAGTTCAGTTGGAAGGGACCTACAGCGATCATCTAGTCCAACTGCCTGACCACTTTAGAGAAGTAAATTCAAGTAAAGAAAATTTTAGGATGCCAATGAGGGGGTGAATTTTGGCTCAGAGAAGAAAATATAGCTAGTAAACATTTTAATTGCATTACTCTGATATATGATTCTGCTCAGATTATTCATATGTCTTAAATACTGTGTAAGAAAACTGTTTATTGAGAAACTACATGCAAGTGGTTTGTGAAGTTTGTGATAGCTGCTTTGCAGGAGTGAAATTTGGTAATTGAAAGATTAATGTAATTTGTGTAATGGCAAGGAGCTGATTAAACATTTTCTACTCTGTGTGAGGTTTGTTTGATGGATGTCTTTTCTGACCAACTGTAGGGAGTTTCTGCTACTGAAAAAGATTACCAAAACCACAGGAAAAATAATTCCATTGCTATTTGCATACTCTTTGGCCTGTTCCTTTTATTATCAAAAAGTTCGCTGAACCCTTTAAAGGAATTACTCCCTTGTGTTTATCAAGTATTATACAAAACGTTCCATCTCGCTGTCACAAAGTTATGCTGTGTATGAGAGGCAATGATATATAAATAATCTTTATTTCAGAGTGGAGCAGAAGGTCCATTTTCTGCTAACCTCAAGACCTCCAGTTGCTTCTTTGAGGAGAATCCTAAAAATAGCTAGTATATCTGATAATTCTTATTTGAGGAGAGCTTTTTTTTTTGTTAGCTGCTCAAAGCTGTACTATTGAAAATAAATCTTTCTACAGTTTGTCAACTGACAAAGTGAATGATAAGACAGTTTTTAACAGATTGGTTTTATACTTATTGCAGAAGAACTGAAGGAACACTTGATAGGCGAGCATGCCATTGACAAAATCTTCACTCTGGGGAACTCTGAGTTTCCCGTTAGCTGGGACAATGAAGTTAAACTTTGGACATTCCTAGAAGCCAGAGCATCCCTTCTTTTGAAAACCTATAAAACCACTGTGGAGGTAAAATTATCATTATATGTAATTTAAATGTCTGATACGTTTTGTGTTATGACTGTAGCAAAAGATATTTTGTCCCCCAATCTTGTCTTTATAAACTTCAATCTGAATGTTAGTACATAATTCATTCTATACTTTTTAAAGTGTAGAAACAGATTTGCATTATCTAAGGAAAATCAAATAAGATCTCAAAAAAGAAAATTTTGTTAACGTAATTTTGTTAATGTATTTTTTCTTTGATTCTCCAAATAGAGGCTGCCTGCTTTTTCTCTGCAAGTAAAATGGGGAATCAGTTTGAACTTGTCTATTGCATTCTCCAGACTGCAAAGAAATGTGCTCCTATTGCGAGCGTATTAATAAACCTCCATGTTTCATATATTTGTGAAGTCTCCTGACTTCACTTGTTGTGCAGGCTGATCTATGTGGAGAAATTTTTGGCTGGTTTATGAATTCTTGACAAATTTCACCTGGGACTCCATGCAGACCCCCTCATTCATATATGTCTGTTTGACTCAGCCTGAAGAACCTAACGTCACTTATTGTTAACGCATAGAGAGAAAAATTGAGGGATTTTTTTTATTGTATTGGTTGTTACTAACAAACTTGCTTTTTCTTTCCTAACAGGATGATAAGTCCTTCTTGGAGACCCATGACCTTACTTCACATGCGATAATGGCTATCAAACTGCGCTTAGGTGAAAAAGAGATCTTGGAGAAAGCAGTAAAGAGTGCAGCTGCTAGCCGAGAGTATTATACGAAACAAATGGCAGATGGAGCTCCTCTTCCTAAATATGAAGAGAGCAATATTGCCTTGCTGGAGAACACTGTGGCAGACTCTAGACTCCCTATTGTCTTGAGAAACCTAGAAGATGTGGAAGAGCAAGGGGACTTAAAGATTGATGAAGCTATTCATGCTGAAGTCACAGAGAATGGGTTTGTAAATGGTGAAAACTCTCTATTTAATGGGACCAAATCAGAAAGTGAAAATCTAAATAAAGAGAAAAGCGACAGAGACACTGAAGATGCCAAAGAATCTTCTTCAGAAAGTACTGATGAAGTTAAAGAATAATCCTAAAATTTTACTTTCTTGTGAAATTAAATTAGCTGAAGTTTATGAACAGTGCGTTTATGTTGGTGTGTTTCTTTGTTAGCATTTCTCTTTCTGCAGAGAAAAATGTTTTTGCTGCTTTATATAAAAATGAATTTTTAAGTTATTTAAAAGATTTAGCATCCCTTTTCAATTAAGATTGCCATCTTGCTTTCAGGCAAAAACTGGGGAAAGAGGTGCCTTTGGAAGATTTTGCAGCCCTTTGTTGAACCAAATGTATTTTCTTCCTGGGGAAGAATTAAGCTCTTCTATCTGCTGTGCTTTTGTTGTTCTGTCACTCTGACTACCGAAATTAAAAGCTTGCTCTGCCTCCTGCCAAGAAAAGCAGAAGGCAGGACTGACTCGGTATTCAGCATGAAGGTGGGAGAGCAGTACAGCAGAAAACTGGATAAGAGGATCAGCAACTTGGGAGACTGGAGGAAAACCTGTTTAAAATCAGGTATACCAGTCCAGAAAAAGGTAAGGTGGCAACCTTATGATTGGTAGTTTTAAATGTTAATGAGAATCCAAATTGTATACACTTAAAGTGATCTCTGAAGATTTCAGTTTACTTTGTCTTTTGTTTACTGTATAAAAATATCTCATCTTTCTTCTTCAGTCAGAGTTAGGCTGCTACAATACAACATTCACCAATTTTTAAAGGCTGACTTCTTTTTATATCCAGGTGGTACCTTTTATTTACAAGGTTGGCAGTGCTACTGGAAAGTTTGAGAGCAGATAGGCCAAGCCACAGCTTTAAACTGTACTGTTCAAAGTGAGATCGCTTCCCAGCTTCTTCAGGTTTTCACAACTAGCTAGAGATTTTTCAAAGCTACACTTTTGACTAAACCATTATTAAAAGGAAAATATGATTAATATTCCTGTCTGCTACTCCTTCATTTCTGTGTTGTTCGATGTAACATTGAATGTAACATGGTTACCTGATCTTACTCAACTTCGTCTTTTGGTTAAGATACTGATGCTGTTTTCTTGAAGGAAATGGCAGGCAGGCTAATGTATTTCTGGCCCAAGACCAGACCACAGCCAAGCCTGCAGTATGCTTTGCCATTTAGATTGTGTCTCTGTCTTATGCACATTTCTTGGGATACCTCCACAAGCTAAGCAGGTCTACTGTCTCCAGCAATTTTGGTCACCCTCATACTGTATGTTTTAACTTCTAGGTGGAAACAATACAATCCTAGCACAGTGCAATATCAGAATAAGAGTAATTCCAAGGCTTGACTTTGAAATTACCTGGGTATTGGGAGGAGAGGAGGGTGGAATATTTTTATTTTGTGCGTGAATGGAGAGGAGTATAAAGTGATTTAATTCTGTTCTCAATATTAAGGACTTTGTCTTTTACCTTCATATCGTTAAGTTCAAGATAATGGATAGAACAGACAAGCTTGGACAGTTGTTTAAAGCTCAATAGATGTTGCAGCCTGCTCATCCAAGATCAGTTGCAGTAAAATGTCTTTTGGCAGGTTCATAGTTTTATTAGATTTTGCTGCTTTTATACTGCAACTTGGAAAATGTGTTTTTGCATAAATCTTTGGTGCAATACACATAATAAGTAGTGACTTTCTTTCATAGTTGTTTTGGTGTTCAGCTAGTATCAGTGTGGGGAAAATAGAAAAAATAGTTTTTTAAAAAATATTTCACTAAGAATGGCACGTTGCCATTGCACCTTGGATATTGCTTCACCACTAACAAGATGCTGGACCAGTATTTTTGTAACTATATGCTGCCTTTGGTAGAATGTTATGATTGTTGTCTTGACAGTTTAAATGTCATGCAAAAGTCATTACATTTCAGTTTTTATTAGGACCAATATTCCATTTCTGTTTCTGCCACTTACATTGCACAACATTGTACTAGATACTATGATGCAATTCTGAAACTAGCCTTCCCTGAAAATTATAACTGTAATTCCGAATTTAAATGCTTTGATTCAATCTGATACACTGTATTTTGTTCCAGTATTTGCTGATATCTATGGCTTAGCAAAGCCTGTGGTCACCACAGGACAGAATGTGTGGGTTTTCTTGAATAAAATATAGTTCTACCATGTCTTCCCTAGTGAGTGTATTATACAAACAAAACCTCTACCTGCTACCGACTGCTGTATCTTTTGGGGTCTGTGGGGAGAGGAATAACTGTCCAGATGTACAGCTGAAGATTAAAGGACAAATAGCTGGCAAAAAAAAAAAAAAAAAAAAAGAGGGGTTCTAGTAAACAGAAGGGGAAAGTGGTCTATTAAGCACATGGTCAAATTCTTACTCTTCATATGTTAGTGTTATTTAGAAAAATGTGTTGCACACAATAAAAATAGTGAGTAATTTAATTTTGTAATTTGCATTTTTCCTCTACGCATGTAGTGGTTTCTCAGAAGCACTAACCTAAAACTTAAGCTTTTGAAAACTGAGGTGGAAACAAAAAAAATTGGCACTGATGAGCCCTTATTACCATCTGTCATGAAAACAGACCTTTCAAAGCATTTTAAAGTTAACTTTCTTCATAATGTTTGGTTAAGAGGCTGTTCACACTAATCCCAGGCTAAATGCCAAATCTTGCTTCTGTTTAGCTAGCTATCTGAAGTATTCCTGTAAGAAAGACATCACTTGGATTTTTCGGACTGTTCTCCCAAAACAAAAAAAAAGCCCTTTTGAGTTTTGCGTGAACCTACCTACCGAGGAATATTTTCCCTAACAACATATAACTACTTCTTCTGTACTGCAAGACAATGTCCATACAGCCCTGTTGATAAAGGCAAACAGAAAAACTGAGCAACAACCTCCGCTTGGAAAAAATGCTGGTAAAGTATATAAACTCAACCTTAGCTTACGTGCTGTCATGAGTACACGAGAGCTGAGAGCCTTCTGGCTGTGGAAGTAAGGTGGTTTAGGATCTTGGCTAAAATAAGCTGTGTTCTAGCATCTTGTCTAAAATAAGTATTCCTTCCTTTGGACATCGTTAAAAGGCGGTATGTACAGAAAATCTATACAGCTCGACAGTAGCTGCATTCTTGAGGCTAATTTGCCTTTAGAGAGGAATGATCATTGTGGAGTCATGGAACTTGCATGTTTCAAAGGTGCACTGGAAGATTTAGGTTATGCAAACTGATCTCTAGTTCACGTGTTTAGAAACAGTATTTAATACCTGCTGCTGCCACTTCTATCAGCCTTATTTTATAGAAAGACATGTGAAGTAATTATGAAACGTAATTTGAAGTGTTTCACTCTGACACAATAAAGATGCTCCCAAAATCCATTGCTCTTTTCTGATTTTACGGACTGAAAGTCAGTCCTTGCTATTTCTCGTACTCTGTGCTAAACAGGAGTGTTCAGAAAAAGCAGTGCTCTACCAAATTTATCTGATGAAGCAATACCCATTCCTTTTTCTCTAGAAGATTTCCAACTGATCCTTGTTGAAGTCAGATATAACCGCATGATTTTCACATAATTACCATCTATATTTAATAGCTTCTACATGCTTCCTTCTTTGAGTGCATCGCTTGCTGTACAAAGTACAGCACGTAAATTGGTGACTCATGGTTAGAAGAGCTTCCTTAGCATTTCTTGGTTTACATCTATTTCCTAACGAATGCCACAAGTTTGGAAACCATGTGGAGGATTTTTCAGTTAAAATAAATAAAACTCAATCCATGCTTAAGAAAAAAAGCCACAAATGGTCCTGGATTCTTTTGGGGTTTGTGCCTCCTTCGGTTCACTGGTGTATTCAGTGTATTTCAAAACTGAATGAATGACTGTTCTAGAGTTAGTGTAAATGACATAAACTTGAGCTTTAGGAATACAAATGAAATCTATGATAATTTGTTTAGTGAAAAACACAAATCGAAATTTTGCCAAATGCCAAAGTGCCTAGCCTATGGTACCAAGCAGAAACAAAAACACCCATTTTTTTTTTTTCTTTTCCTTTTTTTTGCAGGCTTTTGCTGAAGATGGAGTGCTCTAGTACTTACACTCCCAGATTATCAGTAACAGGCTTTGAAATGTACTTGAATAAGCTGGTTTGTGTAGCAGCATACATTGGGTAGTACGGGCTACTCATGTACTTCTAACAAAATGTGATTTTTGCCTTGTTAAGTTGTCTTTAGTCATTAACAATTATCTTTATTTTCAGTGTATGTAGACATCAAGCTTCACTTACAAATTAAATTTTTTTTTTTTTTTTAACATTGGTAGCAGCACAAACTGGACCTGGCAGTTTACAAAAGCAATCAAGTTGGTCGTCAGTGTTTGCATTGCCCAGAAAGTGTTGCACAGTCATTACTGGAATAGTTGGAAACTAGGAAGCATTTGACTTCTGCCTTTGTCGTTTAAGCCCAGCCGACAACTAAGCCCCACACAGCCACTCGCTCACTCCCCTTTGGTGGGATGGGGGAAAGAAGGGTGAAAGAGAGAAAACTCGTGGGTTGAGATAAAGACAGTTTCATAGGTAAAGCAAAGTAAGGAATTCATTCACTGCTTCCCATCGGCAGGAAGCTGTTCAGCCATCTCCAGGAAAGCAGGGCTCCGTCACACGTAATGGTGACTTGGGAAGACAAACACCATCACTCCAAAAGTCCCACCCTTCCTTCTTCCCCCAGCTTTACATGCTGAGCATGACGTCATATGGTGTGGAATATCCCTTTGGTAGTTGGGGTCAGCTGTCCTGGCTGTGTCCCTTCCCAACTTCTTGTGCACCCCCAGCCCACTCGCTGGTGGGGTGGTGTGAGGAGCAGAAAAGGCCTTGACCCTGTGTAAGCACTGCTCAGCAATAACGAAAACATCCCTGTGTTATCAACACTGTTTTCAGCACAAAGGCAAAACACAGCCCCATGCTAGCTACTGTGAAGAAAATTAACTCTACTCCAGCCAAAACCAGCACAGTCTCTCATGCTAGGAAGCCTTAACAGCTGGAGCTGGTGCCATTTTTCATCGTGAAAGATTAAGCTTGATGGGGGAGGAAAGCAAGCAGATGTCCTTAAGTGGAAAATAAAAGCTGGACAACTGAACACAAGCTAG